AGAGTTTGATCAGTCGGCCTGAGTTCTCGTTTCTTCTGTTCAGGCGCCTCCTAAGCCCCGTTTGCTCTCTCCCTTCAGACAGGGATGCAAGGAAACCTGCTGAGATGAGGGGACTCTGACTAACACACGCCGAAAGGAAGCGTGTTGAGAAACATCTACTGTCTTTTCCCGAGAGCGATAATTAAAAAAGTCTAAAGTTGTTTGTACGTGGGGTTTTTCTTTTCTTTTCTTTTTTTTTTTTTTTTGAGACAGAGTCTCACTTTGTTGCCCAGGCTAGAGTGAGTGCCATGGTGTCAGCCTAGCTCACAGCAACCTCAAACTCCTGGGCTCAAGCAATCCTCCTGCCTCAGCCTCCCGAGTAGCTGGGACTACAGGCATGCGCCACCATGCCCGGCTAATTTTTTTTCTATATATATTAGTTGGCCAATTAATTTCTTTCTATTTATAGTGGAGACGGGGTCTTGCTCTTGCTCAGGCTGGCTTCGAACTCCTGACCTCGAGCAATCCGCCTGCCTCGGCCTCCCAGAGTGCTGGGATTACAGGCGTGAGCCACCGCGCCTGGCCGTACGTGGGGTTTTTCTCTCGCTTCCCTGAGCATTTGCCAAGCATGGAACCATAGGCACAGCTTACCACACTCTAAGCAGATTCCTAAACATGTAAATAAACCTAACAGCAACAACAACGCCCGAGTGCGGACCCCGGGGGAGGGAAAGACAGTGCTGCCCGTGGAAACTGCTTCTCGTGAGCACCTTGTTCTTTGCCTTGAAGTCAGCGTGGACGCTAAGATAACCAAACCAGGTGACGGTTTTCATTCGAAATGGCACAGCGGCTTCATTCCAGGTGGTGCTTAAAAATGTTTTCTAGAAGTAACGAACCCTATGGACAGTGAAACAGAGAAAACCATGGAAATAAAGACATCGTTACCACAGGATCCGTAGTTAAAAATACGTGTATATTTTCAGTGCGGGAAATTCATTTCTAGACATAAACTCACTATGTATATAAAAGTTTTAGGAAAACGATCATATTTTAGAGAAATGGTAGGGAAGAAAGCTGGAGTTTCAAACTAAGTCCAAATCGTAGAAAGTGATGAGTACCGAACTAAGGAAAAAGTCTACAAACTGTGGCTCACATGCCCCCAAGTCTGGCCCCCTGCTTGTTTGGTGAATAAAGTTTTATCGGCACACAGCCATGCCCATTTATTCAAGCATTGTTGGTGGCCGCTTTTTGCGCTGTCAGGGTAGAGTTGGGGCATCGCGACAGAGACCACGTGGCCCCCAGGGCCCTTACAGAAAAAGCCGTGTCCCTTGTCACAGACAGTGGTGAAGGTTTCGGGCTGAGGGATGCTGCCCCCATCACGCGGTGGGGTTCATCTGGCAGGAGGGGGACACGGGACACGGGGCAGGTAAGACATGCGGCTCAGTCACCCAGTGTAATGCCACCAAGAGCCGCAGTGAAGGTGGTGGCGATGAGCCTGGAGAAAAAGGACCGTGCGAGAGACGTGGCCCGACACCTGATTAGACCGCAGCGAAGAAGAGAGGACACGGGGCGGCCTTTGAGGCCCTGGGCTCGAGCTACTAGACGCACGGTTGCCACAGAGCTGGAAGAAGAGGAGCTGGCTTGGGGGGCTTAGGAGTTCAGTGTTAGATGCACCGAGCTCGAGAGGCTGGCACCAAATCTGGGCAGGAAGGCCGCAGATGGCCGGCAATGTGCAGCCTGAGAGCTGCGGTACGGTCAATGGCAACAGAGGTGCTGATGGCATGTTGCAGTAAGGAGGGTTTTTAAAACGTATATGCATTTAATACAAATGGTGCCGAAACATGGCCATGACAGCCCTCCAAAGAGACGGGCCCTTCCTTCTGCTGTCACACAAGTAACTCTCCGGGGGCAGCTGGGGGTGGCTTCTCTGCGGAAGCCCGTGCTCTGTGTGCTCAGGACCCCATCCCCTGCGGTCCCCGCCCCTCAGCAGTCCTCTCCGGGCAGGGCCCGGCACGCAGAGCGTGGAAGGGACGCCCGGGCACCGCCCGCAGCCGGTCCTGAGCGTGGGCTGCAGGGGCCGCCTCAGTCGGAGCCACTCCCGACCCCGCCGGCCGCAGCTCACCTGGCACCGGCTCTGTGCAGCCTCCTCAGCTTCGCCTCCGCCCCCAGCCTGAGTCTCACTCGGGCTTCAAGTGCCAACACTCGTTTCTCCTCTCGGTTCTTTTGCTCACGGAAACAAGTTCCTTTTCTGCTTCAGCCGCCTGGATTTGAGAAGAAAACTGTTCTTCCTAGACACCCTGAATCCTGACTCCGCGGTTTGCATGGATTTCCCCCCGCAGAATTTTCCAGAACATTCCTGACCCCTCAGGCCTCTCAGGCTGAGGTTCCTACCGCTTTGTTTCTCCGGAACCCTCTTCATCCAGTGCTTCCTCGAACTTCCATGAATCCACTGCCCCAAGTGTCCCTTCTGTGCTGTCTCCCATATCTCCTCTCCTCATTTGCTCTGTTAGCTCTTCAATTGCGTCTTTTTGCCTCTAAACCCCAACCCTGTGTCTACTTCTTCCAACCTCTCTCCAGGGTTACCTCACTCCTCCAAACTTTTGCAAAAATTTATAAAAATATCTGTGAATGCTGGCATATCTGCAACCTATCTAAAAGATCATTAAGGCCAGGTGCGGTGGCTCACACCCACAATCCCAGCACTGGGGGAGGCTGAGGCGGGAAGATCGCTTGAGGTCAAGAGTTTTAGACCAGCCTGAGCAACATGGCAAGACCCCGTCTCTAGAAAAATTTAAAAATTAACTGGGCACGGTGGTGCAGCCTGTAGTCCCAGCTACTTGGGAGGCTGAGGCAGGAGGATCACTGGAGCCCAGGAGTTCAGGGCTGCAGGGAGCTGTGATTGTGACACTGCACTCCAGCCTGGGCAAACGAGTGAGACCCTGTCTCTGAAAAATAAAAAAAAAGATTAGTCCCTTGATGCCTTGATGGAGTAGGAGTGGGGCGTGAGACTAATTATGCCGGTAACTGATCTATTTGTATTTCAGCTCCTGGGAGGGATATTGCAGTCACAGGGATCAATGCTCAACATTAGAAAAGTTATTTTTGTAATTATAATGTTGTTACTATAAATAAATAAGAGGTGGTCTTGTAACTCACTAAAATAATTGTCAATTTTTTCCTGCCGATTGGTATGTGTAAGGTTTATTACTACATATTTTCCCTGTCACTGCTTTGTGACATGCTCCTGGATGACTTGACAGCTGGCATGCTCTAGGGAGGTGACAATGTGGCCAACCACCGTTTCTTCGGCCAGACACGCAAGCTATTTCAGCTCTGACCTTTGCTCGCTCACCCCTGACTTCTCCACCCAGTGGCAAGAGCTAGGCATTTCTTGCCCTCATTTCTGTTCATGTGCATCCAAAATATATCGACAAGTCAATTCTACTGTTAAGAACAAACCAATTTCACAGACTCGCTACAAAAAATGGAAGACACAAATTTTTTACATAACAAGGGAGTCCTAATTTCATCAGTGTAAAGCAATTCCACTCTTTCGGGCTTGTGTTTGAAGCACCCTGTCTTATGAGAAGCCCGTTGTGTCCTGGTGAGGCTGAGTCTGCTTCATTAATCTTATGTAGCTTTCAGCAAAAATTAATTTACCAAAACATGAAAAATTAAAACAAAATATTTAAACATTATTGTTCCACTGAAGCTCAAATGAAGAATGCATGAAAACAATTTTTATATCTTTTTTTCCTCCTTTAAAATTGACTTAAGGGGGGGAAAGGGCATTTATTGAAACCTTAAAATTTGTACCCCCATAATATGCCGAAATAAAAAAATAATAATAAAATTGACTTAAAATGCCAGTTTATTCATTTGGAAAAATGAAGATACATTCTTTTTTAAATTTTTTATTTTATAATATTTTTATTAACTTTTTCTTTTTTCTTTTTTTTCTTTTCATCTATTCTCGTAGCTTCAAAAGCAATGGATAGATACATTCTTTTTAAAAGACAGGCTGAAAAGGAATGTGGATAATTAAAAAACCCTTTTTCCATTAAATTTGCAATGGTGGGAATGCAGGTACTTTATTTTGCTTTCTATTATTATTTGGGAAATAAAGAATAACAAATGAGAAAAAATTAAAACTATGTTTGGTAATAACCTAAAACCTGCCTCTAATGTTGCATTTTTCCTTTGTAATATACGGGCGTGTAATATGCGCCACAGCGGAGAAGCTAAGGAAAGTGAGCAGTGCTTGCACACGTGGACGGCGGCCGCACCTCGCACTCCATTCACAGAACCAGCGTGGCGGGTCACACACTAAAGCGACCGCCCGCGGTGGTGACGCGCAGAGCCGGCGAGTCTCCGTCGCGTCCCCGAGTTCGACCCTCGCCCCCCTGACCGCACGGGCAGGGGCCACGTGCCGACACCCCGCGCCCGCGGCCGCCTTCCCCTCGGGCTCCCCGCGAAGGAAGAGAGGCCGGACCCGCGCACCCCACTCTCCCGCGAGTCCGTCCCCTCACGATCCGGACTCGAGAGGGGACCCCGGCCCCAGGGCGGCCACGGAGGCCGGGCCGGCGCGCGGAGGGGCGGAGTCAGCACGCGGTGGAGGCGGGGCCGGAGCGCGGAGAGGCAGGGTCAGCACACGGTGGAGGCGGGGCCGGAGCGTGAAGGGGCGGGGTCAGCACGCGGTGGAGGCGGGACCAGTGCGCGGAGGGGCAGGGTCAGCACGCGGTGGAGGCGGGGCCGGAGCGTGGAGGGGCGGGGTCAGCACGCGGTGGAGGCGGGGCCGGCGCTCGGAGGGGCAGGGTCAGCACGCGGTGGAGGCGGGGCCGGTGCTCGGAGGGGCAGGGTCAGCACGCGGTGGAGGCGGGGCCGGAGCGTGGAGGGGCGGGGTCAGCACGCGGTGGAGGCGGGGCCAGTGCGCGGAGGGGCAGGGTCAGCACGCGGTGGAAGCGAGGCGAGGCGGGGCGGGGCGGGGCGGCGCGCGGCGGGGGCGGGGCCTCGTGGTAACGGTCGCGCGGCGGTGCGCGGACACCCGGCTGCTGGCGGAGCACTCTGTGGAGAAGCCGCGGGGCAGCGGCTGTGCCTGTGGAGCTCGAGGAGCAGTCAGGCTAGCGAGGCTCCGGTGAGCCGCCGCGCGCTGGCCGGGGTGCCGGGATGCCCGCGCTGTGGCGTCCCCGGGGCTGTGGCGTCCCCGGGGCTGTGGCGTCCCCGGGGCTGTGGCCTCCCAGAGCTGTGGCGTCCCGGGGCTGTGGCGTCCCGGGGCTGTGGGACGTGCGCGGGAGCCCGTGGGACCGGCCGTGTGGAACGCGGTGTCGCGGGCGCCCCGCAGCTGTCGGCGCAAACAGAGACCGCGGACGGGAGATCGTTTCCCGCCAATTCCCCTCAGTCGGCACTTGGGCTCCGGGGTGCGGCGCCCGGTGCGGGCGATCCCGCAGCCCTGGGGGTCCCCGGGGGCTGCCCGCCGCCTCCTGCGCGACGCCGCGCCCGAGACGCGGAGCAAACTAACGCGCGGCCGCCCTGGAGGATGGACTGACGGTGTAGACCCGGCGCCGGTCGGGAGGTGCAGATGTGGGAGGCGCACGATTTGAAAGCAAGCCAGGCAGTTCTCTATCCTTTTTGTAAAAGCAGCGTTAGAAAATGGGCCGCTGTCCTGAGAGGTTGCTTCCAAGCACTCTTCAGAAGAGTGGAGACCCGGCGTCAGCCAGACTCTCACGGCGCGGAACCCGCCAGGGTCCCGTCGAGCGGTTTTATCAGAGTTTGTCTGAATCTGTGGTTGAGATGGGAGGTGGAGAGAGTTCCCTGGGACGGGCTTCCCGGCACTGGAGTGTCGAATAAAATAGGAAATTATGGGAACCTCGTCGCTGAGCTCTCTGGAAGCTCATTTGTCGTGAATAGCAAGATGTAAAGCATACTTCTAACCATAACTTAAATGCTTGATGTAAATGTAAAATTAGCTGACTAAACTTTTTTTTTTTATCCAAAAAACTGCAGCAATATCATTCTCACATTACAGATGAGATCATTTTTAAGGCTTGTTCATTAATTTAGTCAATAAGTATTCGGCAGCTCCTGCGTGAGGCACTGTGGGAGGCAGCGAGAGGCGTGTGGCTCTGTCCTTACGAGCTGACCTCCTAATGAGGGAGAAAGACACAGAAATGCCACCTTAGGAGTTAGGAGTGGAGGCAGGGAGTGGCGAGGAGGTCAGGGAGATGGGCAGAAGTGATCAGATTTAAGTGCTCATGAGCAGGGAGAATTGGCAGGACTAGGCAAAGATGGTCCGGGGCCTGGTAGGCGAAGGAGAGGGATGTCATTGATGACAGAGTGGACAGGAACAGAATTTTCTGATGGGAAGGTCTGAGGTGGCTCCAGGGCACCAGCGCAGCGGTCAGCACGCAGGCCTCAAGCCTTGGTGGATAATTATTACCTTGAAAAGAACAGGCTGGCCACACACAGGCTCACACACATGCCTCTCTTCCTGGCTCTGGGCAGTACCCTGAAGTCAGCAAAGGTGGCCTTGAATGCCCTCTCCACCCCTCTGCCCACAATTCCTCCAACCCAGGCCCAGGCCTCACACTGACTAAACTCTGGCCTGCTCAGAATTTGAGGCTGTGGCCTTAAAATCAGAAGGTTGGTGGGGTTTGCCTTAAGGGTCTGCTGACACCCTCAGCAGACCTGTGGGCCAGATACCTTCTCAGAACAAGCAGCCAGCAGCGTCCTTACCTTATGTGGGCCCAGAGAGTCCCCTTCTTTTGTGCCAGAGCCCCAGCAGGAGTAAGGGCTAAATAATCCAGCCTTCTCTTCTGGAGGAAAGCTCCAGCAAGGAGGAGCTCAAGGAGCTCGGGCCCAGCCATGCCCTGATGAATCCTAAATGAGGGACCAGAAAGGTCCTGGGAGAAACTGGCCATGTTAGGCTGGGCTCTGGGCTAGACAGGAGGTTGACCTTCAAAAGCAGGAGGATGGCTCAGAGCTCAGGGAGGGGAATTCGGGAGGCTGGGGAGGGAGAACTGTCAGAGTGGGTTAAGGTGTACCTACAGTCTGTGGTGTCGGGCCAGCCTTACAGCAGGCACCTGTGGCATTGCCACTACTCTTAGCTTAACCTGGAGCACTGGAGTAGAGTCACTACCACCAACTCTTTCCTTCCACCCTTGCCAAGGATCTGGATCAGTGGCCTCAAGGCTGTACATATCTGGCCCCACATCTGGCCCTCTGTTTTCACAGCTCCTCTCTGAGGCTCTGGGTGAGTAAGAGGAGGAGTTCTGGGGACCAGCCCCCACATCTACTCTGTCCAGATTCAGGGCCTGACACATATTAGACCCTCAATCCACATGTGTTGAATGAATAAACTGGTATAAACCAGGTTATTGCAGTACTCTAGGTGAGGAATGGCTGAGCATTGGGCTGGGAAGATGAAATTGGAGATGGGGAAAAGGAGACATTTAAAATATATTTTTAAACTAGAAGGGGCAGTAGTTGCTGATGAATCAAGTAGTCTCTGAATTCCTATATTGAATTCTATTTCATGTTAATTTTGTATTTGTCAAAATGGTGGGTGAGAGAAGTCATGCTTTTGTGGATGGACACTGAAGTCCATGTCCATATACCTGGAGCAAGAGTAGACACTGACGGAACTTCAGAGAGATAATATGATGTCATGTATGTCACCGACCAGACCACCAAGAGGTGCTGAGAGGTAAAAAAAAGTTCGAGAAGTCATCACAGGTTCTGAGGTTAGGAAAATTTGGGGAATTCATTTAGAATGTAGGTGGGTTTATTTTATTTTTGTTTTTTGAGACAGAGTCTAACTTTTGTCTGGGCTAGAGTGCAGTGGCATCATCATAGCTCATTGCAGCCTCCAAACTCATAGGGAGGAGGGATTCTCCTACCTCAGCCTCTGGAGTAGCTGGGACTACAAGTGCATGCTACAATGCCCGGCCGGCTGGCTGGCTGGCTGGCTGGCTTGCTTATTTATGTATGTATGTATGTATGTATGTATGTATGTATGTAGAGGCGAGGTCTTGCTATTGCCCAGGCTGGGGTTGCATTTTTTCACAAAATTTAGCCATGGAATAATTCATCCTCTCCAACCTCAAATGGCTGGCAGCTGATGGACTGTCAAGTATTTGTGGAACCAAATGAGTGAACGAATGAATCTATTAGTTTGGCAAGTATTTCAGAGAGTGAACTTGCTCTATAAGCCAGACCAGACCTGGCCAGGCCAAAGAATGAATGAGGAACTCAACACTGCTTATTTCCCAAGTGTTTCTTCTGGCACCAAAGGACCTTGGATGCAAAAACTGCTTCATGGGATAATACCGAAAGGCAGTGCTGTCACCTACTGTGAGCCTGGGAACATCTAGGCATCTTGTATACATTATTTCTAATTCTCACTGCAAGGTAGATATCCACATTTTAAGAATGAGGAAATTAAAGTTTTGTAATGTCAAAATATGCAGCTGCAAACTAGTGGTGCTGGAATTCAAAATTGTATTTGACTAACTCCGTAGGCTCCCTGAAACTAAGGTGTCATGGGACACATCTTTGAACTGAAGTCTGTGGGTGAAGGCATTCACAGAGTTAAAGAGGCCCTGTATTATAAAGTGAAATCAAATCAAACTGTCAGTTTTGTGTAGCTTACAATTTTTCTACAGTGAAACCTTTTATAGTGATGGTATTGAGGGACAAGCCACCATTTCATTCATTTGATATTTGTTGTGTGTTTTCTAGTACAAGGTAGCATTGAAATACACAAAAATATGCAAGATGCCATCTCTGTCCTCATGGAGCTTACCATTTAGAGGTGTATTTAAAATCACTACCTTTCTCCCTATACAATGTAACCAAATGCACAATTTGAGGTGTTTTCAATGGATTTTTGTTGTATTTTTTAGGTAGGCTTGATGTTAATAAATATTTAAATCCTTAAATGTCCCATTGAATCATCTCTTATCTGAAACTCTAAATTTACATAGTGCTCAAAAATTTTTAAATTTTACATGGCTTAGAAAGTGAAAGTTAAAAATTGAAACCTACCTATATAGTTATATCATTCAAAATTATAAAAGGACACTTTGAACATATTTTTTATAGGTTGAATCTGTGTTAATTTACATGTCACCATTATAATAAAATTTCCAAAGAAGGAGTAAAATATCCAGTGTTTTCCTAAATAATTTTTAAAATCTTAGAATTTTTCATGGTTTATTTCAGCTATTCAATTTATATATCTAAATTATATTTTCTAAAATACAGATTAAAAAATGGCAAACTCCTTTGCATCAAGGACCTTTACTGCACTTTCAGATCTACATCCAAATATGGCTAATCTGGTAGGTTTCAGTTGTATGGTGGTTTGATTGTTCTTTAATGAAGCTATGTGGTAACATTATATTATGTCAACATTATTCATTCAACACATGTTTGTGTAATTGACAAATATATAGATACTCATTGCATTTCTATAATTGTTAGATATTAAGTGCCCCTAAAATTCTTTGCATTTGTGCCAACTAAATTAAAATATTTTTTTGGTCTGCAGAGTAGGAGATATGATTGCAGATGTGACTAGTGATTATTCAAAATGATCAGAAAGACTGGGCTAGACCCAGTCTCTACAAAAAAATGCTTTTAAAAAATAAGCCAGATGTGGTGCATTCACCTGCAGTCCCAGCTATTCAGGAGGCTGAAGCAGAAGGATGAGTTTAGCCCAGGCATACAAGATTGCAGTGGGCTATGATTATGCCACTGCATGCCAGCCTGGGTGACAGAGTAAGACTTTGTCTCTGGAAAAAAAAATCAAAATATTTTTGTATTATTTTAATTAAATATTAATAAAGTGAAAATTTTAATAAATGTTCAAGCTTAGCATTATAAAATTAAACCATTTTTGTTCAGCAGTAATAGTTCTCTTACCAAACTATCCAAGTTATCATCTTAAATACTTGCCATTATGCTGCTTCTATGACATAAGTTACACAACAGGTGTGTTTCTAAAATGATTATGTGAAAATTGATTTTGGGGGTGGAGTTATAGGAGAAGTCAATGATTTTGAGTATACTGAGACTGTTATTTATTTAAAAGAAATCTAGGTAGAATAATCTTATAAGGTGAAGAACTTATTGTAAAGAAACTACCCATATCCCTTACTTTCCCTGCCCCTGAGCAGTCTTCTACTTACATTGGGTTTTGCAAATCAGATTTCTTAAAACAGGATAAATTTAAATTTACATGTAACTTTAATAATTTGCAATTCAAGGTTTATTAATGTTAAATATAATTTTTATAGTTATAGTTTTTCTTAAAAGGTAAACTATTTGCTAATTGCTTCTTCAGATAGAAAGTTTTATTCAACATTTTCATTTCTCAAAATTCAGTAAGATCTGCATGTATAAGAAATTGAAGAAATAATGACAACATTTCTAAATGCAATAAGACTAGCTAATAGCTCAACTAGAGTGTAGTAGTCTTAAAACTGTACTTTGTACTTAAAACTGTACAGTAGTCTTGACTGTACTTTAAATGTCATAGATTATTACAAGGTTAAAATCAGTTGGTGGAATTAGTAATATAAGTTTAGGTTTTTCCTTTCAGAAAAAGGTGTTTATTTTTAAATACATGTGCTTTCTTAAAACACATTTTTTAATAATTATATTTCTTATTTATTTTTTCTTTTTCTTTTTAGGATTTTGCCCAAGTAGCATTATCTAGCTTAAAACACATTTTTAATGTTTAATTTTTCTTTGATAGTCACTAAAGAAAACATTAAATTTTTTCTTTTTTAAAATTTTTTTCTTTTAAAACATGCCTCACAGAAAAGTATACATTAAAACTTTTAAGAAGATATTACTATCTGTAAGATTTAAGATCTAGGACTTTAGGATTTAGGTTTATTAGCAGCAATATATAACTTCTATTATAGTCTAATTTGTAGACTGTCCAGCATGTTTGGATTAATAAGCTAAGCAATTTTATGTGGATTGTTGGAAAATCCTACATAAAGGAGAGCTTTGAAGACTGTGGCAAATTAAATTGCATTATACATGTGCTTTGGATGAACTCAGTAAGGACTGATAGCAGAAGGCAGTTACTGTGCTGCATCTAGTGATTGAAAATAAAGTAAAAACATACTAAGTATTAAACGATTATATTTGTAATAGCAGTTAACCATCTGATTACTTTGTACTGTTCCTTGTGGAATTGAAAATTTATGAAGTTCTTTTAGATGTTTGCCTGGAATAAATATATTTAAATGGTTCCTAGTCAGAAATGTTTGTTAAAGCCAGTAAAACGTAACAAGTCCATGAAATTAAATTTACCATGTACATCTGTGTTTAATATTGGTCTTCTATAACCTTTTTGTTTTTCAGAAAATAATTGGTATAGTTATTGGGAAAACAGATGTCAAAGGCTTTCCAGACAGAAAAAGCTGAGTTCTATTTAACTCTTTGCTTCATTTTTTCATCAACTGTGTCTTATGACTGCAACAAAGTATATATAAGTGATTAATTTTTCTATGCATGTTTAACTTCTTAAGAACAATGGCCATTCTTGCTACTTTATGGTCAAGTACCCAATTCAAGGTCATATGTGTAGTAGGACATTAAAATATTTTTAAATGATTTTATTTGATGTTTCTCAAACATAATTTTAAAGGTTTGGGGTATACAATGCCAAAATAGCTAGTTAAATTGGTCAACTCATTAACTTCACTCAACATGTGTTTATTTAGGACCTCCACTGAGTAAGACCCTGTGGAGTACCAAGGAAAAATAGAGAGAAATTGTAGTCTCATGTCATCTTCAAATACCTTAGTGTTTAAGACCAGGGGTCCTCAAACTTTTTAAACAGGGGCCAGTTCACTGTCCCTCAGACCGTTGGAGGGCCGGACTGTAGTTTAAAAAAAACTATGAACAAATTCCTATGCACACTGCACACATCTTATTTTGAAGTAAAAAACCAAACGGGCAAAAACACCTGCATGTGGCCCGTGGGCTGTAGTTTGAGGATGCCTGTCCAAGACTATAGCCTTGGAGCTAGACTACCTGGGCTCACCAGTCACTGAGTGATCTAAGATGTCTCCTGTATACATCTATGAAATGGGGATAAATAAAGCTGATGTGAGAATTAGATGAGTTCACACCATGTAAGGGTTAGCATCACGTGTGGCCCATACTAAGAACACCATGTTAACCATTGCTTTCAGCTTAACAGGTGGCAGATGCACATGCAAATCTTAAGAGAAAATGGTAATGATGAGGGTTCTTGAGCAGGAAGGTATCATGACAAAGTAGTATCTGAGGGAAAGAAAAGTGTGGTGGTGGCAGTATCTATGTATTTACTCAAGCAACCAGATGGTTCAGTGAAAAAAATTCATCTTTTATGTATGGGGAAAACAGTTACATTTGGCTTTAGTGGTTCTTAGAGAGTTGCTTGAACTGTGAAAGAGTTTTAGGACTATGGAATCATAGTCCAAGACTAAAACTGGATTTTTAAACTTTCAGTTAATTTAGGGGGTACAAGTGTTTTTTGTCACATGGATGAATTGTATAATGCTAAAGTCAGGGCTTTTAGTGTACCTGTCACCAGAAATGTGTACATTATACCCAATAGACAAAATTTTTTATTCCTTGCTCCCCTCCTTCCCTCCCTCTTCTTAGATTCCAATGTCCATTACACCACTTTATGACCATATATACCCATCATGTAGCTCCTACTTATAAATGAGAACATGTGGTATTTTTTTTTCCATTCTTGAGATACTTCACTAAGGTAATGGTCTCTAGTTCCATCCAGGTTGCTGCAGAAGACATTATTAATTCCTTTTTATGCCTGAGTAGTACTCCATGGTGTATATATCCCACATTTTCTTTATCCACTCATCAGTTTATGGGCACTTAGGTTGATTCCATATCTTTGCTATTGTGAATAAACATTTGGGTATAGGTGTCATTTTGATATAATGGCTTCTTTTCCTTTGAGTAGATACCCAGTAGTAGGATTGGTGGATGAAATGGTAGGTGTACTTTAGTTCTTTGAGGAATCTCCATACTGGTTTCCATAGATGTTCTACTAATTTACATTCCCAGCAACAGTGTATAAGCATTCCTTTTTCATTGCATCTGCTTCAACGTCTGTTGTTTTTTGACTTATTAATAATGGCCATTCTGACAGGGGTAAGGTGGTATCTTATTGTGGCTTTAATTTGCATTTCCCTGATGATTAGTGATGTTGAGCATTTTTCATGTGTTTGTTGGCCATTTATATATCTTCTTTTGAAAAAAATCTGTTCATGTCTAAAGATGGATTTTTAAAGTCAACTGACTTTTTAACTTTTGTAGTTGATATGAAAGATAAAATATAGAATTAGCAGTTTACCACTACTAGCTTTAAAACCTTTTTATTAAAGGTTATAGTATAAGTGTTTCTGTGTAGCTTAAGTGAATTAGAGCTCTATTCAGCCAGCCAGTAATTTTGGTAGAAGACATTAATTTTGCTGGAATCACTGATTAATTGTGGCTGTGTTACTTTGACTCATGGCATAGTGATAGGTACTTTTATTTTTGTTTTAGTTCATATTAATCCTTTTTTTAACAAAGATGTCATCTGGTACCCATACTCATTTGTATTTGCCTTTATTTTATCATAACTAATTAGATCAGAATTACTATATGAATAGTTTGAGGAAGTCTATATGTCTTTCTGTTTACTAAACCCTAGAAAGTATAACTTAAAGTACATGAATTAGAAAAAAGTATTAAAATTTTTGCTAAACTTATGACAATGAAATACAGTTTTTCACCTATCAGATTGAGAGCATAGGAGAAACACTTCCATATTGTTTGACTTATTTTTATGATGACATCTTTAGCATTTATTTTTTGGAGAAGGTATGCTTACTGACTTTTAAAAGCATTGCAGGCTGGGTGTGGTGGCTCACACCTGTAATCCTAGCACTCTGGAGGCCAAGGCAGGCAGATCGCTCAAGGTCAGGAGTTTGAAACCAGCATGAGCAAAAGCGAGAACTCGTCTCTACTATAAATAGAAAGAAATTAACTTGCCAACTAATATATATAGAAAAAATTAGCTGGGCATGGTGGCACATGCCTGTAGTCCCAGCTACTTGGGAGGCTGAGGCAGCAGTATAGCTTGAGCCCAGGAGATTGAGGTTGCTGTGAGCTGGGCTGATGACATGGCACTCACTCTAGCCTGGGCAACAAAGCGAGACTTTGTTACAAAAAAAATGAAAAAAAATAAAAGCATTGCACATGTAACATTTTCATTAAAAATTCCAGCAGGATCAAAGGTCATAGAGTTGAAAAGTGAAATTCCCCTTTCAACCCCCCATTCTAGCCATCCTAGTCCTCTCCACAAAGATAGATACTAATAATAATTCAGTATATATTTATAGTTTGCATATTTATATTAGGTTGTATTTTTTAATTAGCAAAAATAGTAATGGGATTTCTATTTTTGGAAAAAATGTACTTGCTGACCCCTAGTGGTACTCATTTAGTTGCACACAATTTGTTTTGAAATAATTATTTAGATTTGAATTATGACTTAGGTTAAAACAATATCAGCTGGATGCGGTGGCTCACACCTGTAATCCTAGAGCTCTGGGAGGCTGAGGCAGGAGGATTGCTTGAGTTCAGGAGTTTGAGACCAGCCTGAGCAAGAGCGAGACCCCGTCTCTAAAAGAAAAAAAATATATCAATAAGAGAAATCTAAGCTGATATCTGGAAAATCTAATGGAGAATCTAAGCTGATATCTGGCCGGGTTGAGTCTGCATATCTTCCCCTCTAAATACACAGATAACTGAGGAAAGGGAGCAAAGGGGCCAGTAATAAAGCGAACTATTGGCAGCTTTTTATTACTTTGGTTTGAAATTCACAAAAGCACAAGTATTTATAGAATATACATCCAAAATATAACATTTTATACCATATGTTTTGAGTACTTTTATCATACTAATCATCAATCAGTCATTTTAAAAGCTGAAATGAAACTTTGAAAAATAAAAGCATTGGTTTTCCCTTAGATATTGGATCAGAGAGGTACACTTTCAGCTTCACCATTCGGGACTCACCAACCTGTTTTGTAAATGCAACATCTTGGGGCAATGAAGATTACATCAAGTCCCTTTCTGACAGCTTTAGGGTCGGTGAATGTGGTAAGTTTGCACTGATTCTTAAACTGTTTCTGTTCCAATATTATCTCTGCAGCATGTTTTGCAACTATACTAAGGGAGTCAAAATGAAATAAGACATAGTTGATAATTCTCAAGAACCTTATCAGAAAAAAAGTCAAGTTTAAGAACATAACACAAGGCATTCACTTCAAGGCATGTTAGTTGAAGCCTACAAACATGACGGTTATATTTTTACTAGGGAACTTTGCCATCTTTGGTTTATTACATGTTTCAATTTGTATCAACCCCTATTTTGTTATAATCAGCTTCCTTCCTTCCTTCCTTCCTTCCTTCCTTCCTTCCTTCCTTCCTTCCTCCCTTCCTCCCTTCCTCCCTTCCTCCCTTCCTCCCTTCCTTCCCCTTTCCTTCCCTTCCCCTTCCTTCCCTTTCCCCCCTCCCCTCCTCTCCCCTCCCCAGGTTAGAATGCAGTGGCATAATCATAGCTTACTGTAGTTTCAAACTCCTAGGCTTGTATGCATTACCATGCTGGGCTAATTTTTAAAAAATTTTTCTGTAGAGATGGGGTCTTGCTATATTGCCCAGGCTGATCTTGAACTCCTGGCCCCAAGTGATCTTCCTGCTTCGGCCTCCCAAAGTGCTAGGGTTATAGACATAAGCCACCATGCCAAGCTGTTATGTTTCTATACACATATCATAGGGCCACTGAATAGATTTTCTTTTTTTTTTTTTTGAGACAGAGTCTCTCTTTGTTGCCCAGGCTAGAATGAGTGCCGTGGCGTCAGCCTAGCTCACAGCAACCTCAAACTCCTGGGCTCAAGCGATCCTCCTGCCTCAGCCTCCCGAGTAGCTGGGACTACAGGCATGCACCACCATGCCCGGCTAATTTTTTCTATATATATTAGTTGACCGATTAATTTCTTTCTATTTTTTTTAGAGTAGAGACGGGGTCTCGCTCTTGCTCAGGCTGGTTTTGAACTCCTGACCTCGAGCAATCCGCCTGCCTCGGCCTCCCAGAGTGCTAGGATTACAGGCGTGAGCCACCTCGCCCGGCTACTGAATAGATTTTGATAAGAATTGATATTTGTATTTTTAATGGAATTTTAAGGAACTTTATCTTTAGTTGAAATACCAAATCTTTTGCATCTTCTACTCACCCCAGTATCCTTCTGACAGTAAAGCATAGTATAGTATTCTGTACCTGTGTCCATAAAAAAAAAAAAAAGCATAGTATAGTAGAAAGAACAAGGACTTCAAAAACTTAGATCTGGATTCAAATCCCAGCTACAACGTGTGTATCTTGTGACTTTGAAAAAACTTTTTAGTTCTTGAAAATACTAAGTGAGGTAGTGTGCCTAGTATAATATAAAATGTAGAGCTTAGTCCAGGCGTCCTCAAACTACGGCCCACGTGCCACATGCTGCGAGCCAAGGACATTTATGCAGTCCGCTGGGTGTTTTTGCCACCTGCTGCCTGTCCTGCTTAGCAGCTGACTCGTCCTGGGCCCACAGTGCACACTCTCTAACGGTCTGAGGGACAGTGAACTGGCCCCCTGTTTCAAAAGTTTGAGGACCCCTGCCTCTCAGTAAGCAATAGCTCTAGCCTCATACAAGAAACAAGAAAGCATGTGTATTAGCTCTCCTTCATGGTAGTAAAGAGACAGTAGAGAGCAATGTGAGTAATGAAACCACTTGTTTTTAATACTGTAGTATCAAGCAGCCCATCACCCACACCAGTTATTTAGTACCTTATCATATATTGTCTTGTAGTATTAACTTTTAGGGTTATGTTTACATATAGCATCTGTCTAGCTGAATAATAAGATCATCGAACATGCGGGCTGTGAAGGCAGAGAACTTTGCAAATTTCGTAGGGCCCAGTACAATCATAAACATTCCTTGAATGGATGCAGGAATGTCAGTTAAATAGAAAGATAAAGATATAATTCAGTATCAAAATGTTATATGTTGACGGTTGTGAGGACGAATGACAGAAGGTATTGAAAAGCCTAAAGTTGGTGATGATTATAAATATAATGGGATGTTTGGATGTTAGTGTGTTAGGGTGAAAAGATTACAGATTTTTGAAGTAGGACAATTCTAATTCTGCCTCTACTACTTTCTAGATATACAACCTCAAGAAATTTGCTTAACCTCTGTGAGCATCAGTTTTCTTATTTGTAAAACACAGATAATTGTAGATGGTTGTGTGAGGAATGAGCAAAGCAAAGCACTGGAAGGTCTCATAGGCCATGAAGAAACTGAAACCCTAAAATGTTGGGCTGACAAAGCTGACGAGTGGCAGCGCCCATGTTAGTGTCCCAGAATTTGCCTTGCTCTTTCCACCCCCTCCCCATGGTTTCCATGGCAAGTGTGAAGTGGGAAGAGGTCTTATTGAAGGCCATGCTGTCACGAGATCAAATGCTGAATGTCAGTAGACCAATAAAGTGATATCCGTGTGGTCATGTGTTGGGATTTAAACACAGAGCATCAGAAATGTCATCTGAGGTCGTACGATGGTCATAAGCCAGGGATTCCACTTCTCACAGCAACATGAGAGGAAACTATGAGGGATACAGGGTTTCAGCTCAGACCTTAGAAACCACATTGTGACAGTCATTGTTGTATACACTTGTTTCTTATTTACTCTGTTACTATATTGTAATACCATCATACTTTACCCTCTGTTTTAGTGATAATTGAAAATCCCCTGATCCAAAGAAAGGATATAGAAAGAGAAGAAAAATTCAGCCCTGCAACTCCTAGGTAAATATCTGTCTAATGCAGAGATCAACAATCTTTGTGCAAGAATGATCAGTACTAATAATTTTGTATCAGATTAGCAGAGAACTTACTAATGGTACTCTGCTTCAATTTGAAAATTAGGAGTTTAATTCTCTTTCACAACATTTATCTTAGATTATAAAATAATTTACTTTGATACAGACTCACATGAAAAAATGGCCGTGTTTTTAGTACTTTCAAATTTACAAATTTAGTCCAAATTTACAAAAATTTGACTCCAGTCACATTAATACTGAAGATAAATCTTGGAAATTATGTCTTTTTTTTGTATCAGGGTATCACTCTGCTCCCATGTCTTACCATCTTAGGCTCCCTGGAAGCAGAGCTTGAGAGGAGGATTCTTGTGCAAGTGCTTTATTGAGGGAGAGCTCTCCTGAGACACCTGCAAGGATAGGGTTAGGGTGGGGGAGAAGCTGAACAAAGAAGTGAGTTCACCTGGAGCCTCCACTGGAGCCCAGGAGGGAGCTCTGGAACAGTAGCCCTCAGAGTAGCACACTGAGGGGAGGGGTATACCTCCCCTTTTGTACCCTGTATTCATCATTGGCTGTAGTCCATCCTCTCCCAACCCCCAGAGGTGGCGAGGTATCATCTCAAAGGCTGTTCTGGTAGTTCTGTGCTAGCCTGCATGTGGAGGATGGACTGTGGGGTATGAAGCTTAGTTAGGAGGACAAGGCAGTGGTGTGGGACAGAAGTGATGTGATTCTAAGGCAATGGCATGGGATGGGGGGATGGGTACGGGTGAGAGGGGAAGAGCAGCTCAGTTCAGGTGCATTTTGCTCCACAGAGACTGCTGCAGAGATAAGAAAACACAGTCCTTGACCTAAGGCACTAGGCAGAGCAGCCAGAGTCATCAGAGAAACAAGTTCTTGGGTTTGTAAGACCTCCTAAAGTTTTATTTTTTTGCTGGTCAAGTAGAGCAGTGGGAGTGGAGAAGGAACAAAGGAATCTTTAAGTGATTGTGATCAATTAGTTGTAAATACCACTGCACTTGGACCAACCCTCCATAAAGTTTTAGAGTGCATTTATACCCCTTTTATAGAGAAGGAAACAAGCACAGAAACTTGGACAAGATCAGATGAGTAATATGCTTAGAGCTCAGGCATGAATTGATCCTCAAAACATTTTCTTTGGCTGAGTGTGGCGGCTCACACCTGTAATCCTAGCACATTGGGAGTCTGCAGTCGGAAGATTGCTTAAAGCTGGGAGTTCAAGACCAGCCTGGGCATTATGGAGACACTGTCTCTACAAAAAAACAGAAAAATTTGCTGGGCATGGTAGTGTGTAGCAAGCTGTGATGACACTGCTGTACTCTAACCCAGGCAACGGAGTGAGACCTTGTCTCAAAAAGAAAATGAAACTTCACCAAAATAAATTTTCTTAATTAACATACATCTTAAACAAAAAATATTTTACTACATTATTCAGTTTTTTAAGAGTAAGAAGTATAAATTTCATAATATAGTCTAAATTTCAACCAACAAAGTAATTTTACCGTGAACCTGGAAGTATTTTTCTATTCAAAAATCATTTGATATTAACCTTTTTGTGTGTTTTGGAATTTAGCAACTATAAACTATTGCTCAGTGAGAATCATTCAACGGTAAAAGTTTGTTCCAGTTGTGGAGTGGATCCCAAGTTACTTTCTCTGATACATTTACCTGTTAAAGAGTCTCCAGATTATTATACATTGGGTGACATTGTTGCAAATGGACAAAGTCTTAATGGGAAGATTATCAATGTGCTTGCAGCTGTGAGGTCGGTAAGTTAAGACCCCAACAATGCCAACTGCTATTTGGGGTGGGGGAAGAGGAAGAGGTAGAGAAATAAACACCTTATATGACAATCAGGAAAAATAGACGTCACTTTCTGGGCAATTTAGGTTTAGTCCTGCTCAATTGTTCACTGAAGTGCTCAATTGTACGCAGTTTTCCCACAGTTCTTTATACTGCCATTGCATTTATAATGTGGTAAGAATTGTCTAAAATTCAGTAAGAATAAATGACAATGAATATACAGAAAAGCCTGCAACTTTTCCCACTTCCCAGTGAGTCTGGCATTCATCACTTCTTTTCATGCCTTTTCATGCCTCTTTTGCTCCCAGCCCTCTTTCGTTTCCTTATCTTCACACTTTTATTTAACCTGTTGTCTCTTCTTCCTCACTGCCACTGTCTTTTCACTTTAAATCTCCTTTTAACACAATGTTCTCCACTCACCACCACCACTCCCACACCAGCTGTGCAGGCTGGCCTCTCTCATCCTCTGGCTGTCCTTCTCGCTGACTTTCCTGTCCAGATCCTGTTCTCTTAGCACCTTTGCGTCTTTCTTTAGCTCCTTCCCACGGAGTTTAGTCCTGCCAGCAGACACAGTGGTGGCAGTGGCATGGTGGCAGCCAATGACTGTGTAGGGGCTGCTGCTGTGTGGCCATCAGAGGTGCCTACTGTTGCCATGAGAGAAGGGCACCTGGGTCACCGCCACTTCTTTGATCCTCTTACCCCACAACAGACAGAACTGGACAGTGAGCCAAAGTGCTTTCCCAGACCCCTTGTGGCCTCCCTGCCTTGGCCCTGGGGAGAAGGCAAAGGACGCAAAGGCAGATACATCTGCTATTTTATACAGAGATGGGGACACCAAGGCCCAGAGAGACTAAGTTCATTTAGTCACACGAGCTCTTTGCCAGGCTCCATGTTAAGCCATGGGGATACGCGGATGTAGAAAATACACTTTCTACCCTCAAGGAGGCCACATAGATGCTACCAAGGGGCCTGTCATGGAGCATTTGTTCTGGATGTTGGGAAGACTCAGTCTCAACTATAAGCCCGTATGGCCCCCCCTTGAAGACAAGTCATATCTAACTTACAGCTTCAGCCAAATACACCTGGTTTAGAGACAAGATACTTTAAAATCATCAAATATATATTAATGGTTCTTGTTATTTCAATATTTCTAATTTGATGTTTAAAAGGTAAATGTTTGTGTATTTCTATAAACAAATAACTACCTCTACAATGATTGATGAAGAATAATGATTTCTTCTCATTTCTAAGGTTGGGGAGCCAAAGTACTTCACAACTTCAGACCGAAGGAAAGGCCAGAGGTGTGAAGTTAAACTCTACGATGAGACAGAGTCGTCTTTTGCAATGATATGGTAACCTCCCATGTCTGTTCCAAACCGAAATCCCTGTTCTTATCATCGATGCATAGGGCATTTTCATTTTATTAAAAATAGGATGGATTTCATATTAAGAAAGGAGGAATCATAGGAAATGAATGATATTTTAAGAAATAAACCTCACTCTTGAATGCTGAGTTGTTATGGATAGCACCTTAAAATAAGGTCTTTAAAAAAAAAAAATAGCTCTTGTCATATGGAATAAAAAAAAAAAAAATAAGGTCTTTAGATGGCATAGAATTGTTTAGGTGGACTCCGCTGTGACCAGTGTTGTTAACTGAATTCTGTTTTGTAGCAATGGTGTCTTATTTGGTCCCATTGATAACAAACAAACCAGAATTTCCTTTGTGCTGCTTTTGTTTCACCCTGAGCAGGGCAGTGCACAGGGTGTGGTAGGACACAGGGTGTGTAGGGGCAGGGTGGGGACTACACCTTGAAGCACTGTGGGTACAACACGGCACGCCTAGGTACCAAAGAAAGAAATTTGAAAAGTGCCTTTAGCCCATCAAGTCCCCTGAGCAATTTATCCATTGTAGGGGCCCCTATCTTCATGGTCTAAAAGTTTGGCCTTAAGGTCTTTAGACTTTTAATCACTTGGTTCTAACTAACCTTGAGTGACTTAAGAGCTAGGAACATGAAAACTTGTGAGAGCAGGACTGATCCTTCACTTGGTTGTTGAATGCTCTGTGAGATGGAAAACAAGCAGAAAATACCCTGAAGGACCCTAACCCCAGCCATTGGGACATTATTTTTTTTGTAAATATCATGTCACTACCAATTTTTCCTAATGTATTCAATTTGTGTCATTTTTTAAACAAATACAGTTGGGATAATGAATCCATTTTACTTGCACAGAACTGGATGCCACGAGCAACAGGTATAATAATTCAGTGTTTATGTTCAATATTTGTCATTTTTGTCCCCCTATATAATATTTTAAAATTACTTTTTCTCTAAACAGTAATATTTGCCTCAGATGTAAGAATAAGTTTTGACAAATTTCGGAACTGCATGACAGCAACAGTAATCTCAAAAACCATTATTACAACTAATCCAGGTAAAAAGCTTTTTGACACTTTTCATTCTTTGGAAATGACCATGAACATATTCCAGTGTTTGTGCAGTCTATTTAGGAATGAAAATATAGCTTGGATTTAATTTGAATTCAAGGTGAAAAATTGCTTTATGTGACTTTCTTTAACTTAAAATGAGGTCTATAGCTTTGATATCTTTATGAAAGAAATGTGAAAGAACAGACTAATTTTTAGAGTATCATCCATCGTGATAGTTTTTTAAATTTTTAAATTTTTATTTGTTTCATTTGAGTTTTTTGAGAGGGGTTCTTACTCTGTTGCTGGGCTAGAGTGCAGTGGTGCAATCATAGCTCACCACAACTTGAAACTCCTGGGCTCAAGTGATCTTCCTGCCTCAGCCTACTGAGTAGCTGGGATTAGAGGTGTGCACCAAAAATTTTTAATTTTTCGTAGAGATGGTGTCTTGCTATTGCAGGCTGGTCTCAAACTCCTGGCCTCAAGTGATCCTCCCACCTTGGACTCCCAAAGTGCTAGGATTATAGACGTGAGCTACTGTGCCTGGCCTCAAGACTAAATTAACAAGACAGGTTGTTGTACATTTGTCTCTAATGGAAGATTCAAAGGGAAACTGTCAAAATATTTTGAGCAATGCCAACATAACTAGAATAAGTGCCTTCTTTCTCAAGGAGACAGATTTTTAAAAATTTATTACCAATTTTAGAATTCACAAAAATTTGTATTGTATGCAACATGTTTTGAAATATGTATATGTTGCAGAATGGCTAAATCAAGCTAATTAACATGCACTACTTCACATACTTATCAATTTTTTATGAGAACACTTACAATCTGCTCTCTTAGCACTTCAAGAATACAGTATAGTCACCTATATTGACTATAGTCACCATGTTGTACAGTAGATCTAGATCTCTTGAACTTATTTTGTCAGGGAGACAAATTTAAAGGAGAGTACTTATAAGAGTGCCTGAATTTGTGTGCTTGTTTAAAGCATCCTTATTTCTAATTTCCTGAGCTACACCTGCCTTATAGAAATTAAAAACCTCTAAAATGGCTTAAGCGTTCATCCTAGCCAGCATGTCAAGATTTCCTTTTTACTTTGTACTAAAAGTAACCCAAAAGGGACAGTCAGGATGACCCTGTTTCAGCAGAGACCTGTGTGGCTGCACCGGTCCTCCCTGTCCCCAGCCTCTGTACCGAGGCGCTTGGTGGCTTGGCTTCTGTGGCCCTGCTCCAGCACCTGCTCCCTTGTGGAGTGCAGCAATTCTGCCAGTATTTCCACAACCTGTATTGATTCACTTGTTAATTTATAAATGGTTTTGAATGCCTTGTATTTTCCAAGTATTGAGATAACTTAAATCCTTTCTGAAACAAGGCAGGAGATGAGTAGATGGTCAGATGGATGGAAGGAAAGCCACTATCCTGGTTACTGGAAATACAAAAATGAAAAGGCAAACCCTCTGCCCATGAAGAGTTTATAGTCTAGTTCTGAGAAAGAACAGACAGTGATGAGACTTATTGTAATGGGAGCAAGGAGAAAGAAATGCCTAAATCTGCCAAGGGGAGTTAGGGGAATCCAAGCATGTCAGGGCAATTTGTACAATGTCCAGGTAGGTGGGGGCACTTCAAGGCAATCCTGTATTGGAGTTTAGGGTCTTGGGGTTGAGGGGCACCAGCCCCCACTGCTCCTGAGTATACTTGTATCCTAATTTGAGGACCGAGGATTTAAAGTAACTTTTTGTTTTGTCAAATGTTTTATTGAGTGTAGACATCTGCAATACTGTCAAACATGCATTATCTGTAGATTCAAACAGGAGCAAGCCACATTGTTCTCACTGTAAAATATGTCAGGCTTGGCATATATGATGGAGATTAATGAAATATTATGGGAGTAATATGGTTCCTGAAAAGCTTCTACAATTTCTAGTGGGGTCTTAACCATGTGAAAAAGCAAAACTGTTTACATTTAGTGAACTTACATTTCACTGGAGGTACACAATATTTTAATTTCAAAATAAAAACAATTTGTAGAAGATTCCCATCTCCACAACTTTATTGGTCCCTTCAGTTTTCAGAAATTTTAATTAAAAAATTATATGCCTTTGTAAATTTTTCTGAGTGACAACTAAAATCTATTTTTTCCTTTGTTCTTGAGGTGTATTAAATTTGAAGATGTTATCTCTCCAACACTATAATGTCTGCCTTGTCTGCACTTTTCAGCAGCCTTGAATGCATTTCTTTTATAAAATCTTCATATTTCATTAATTCAGCCATAGTGAATCCCTTATCGAAATTTTTGTGAATCTTTCCTGCAGCCTGAGGAGGCTTCATCCCTGTTCTGATGGCCTGTGCATGCACTTCATCTGGGCCTGTGGTGAAAAAGTATTCCAGCTGGAGTGCTGTACACCCAGCCCTAGTGATCTTTGGCAAAGCACTCGTGTCAGGTTTGCTTCTAGATACACCTGTCTCTCCTCAGCATCATTCTTGCAACTCAAGTGCCATGGCCCCACTAAAGGAATGACCAAGGCACCTGGTTCATACTTGTGAACCCACTTTTAGTTTTTATCAATCATTTTTTTTTCTTTCTAATTTAGTCTTTTTCAGAAAGATTAACCAAATAAACCATTGGTTTTGAAGTAAAAAATAAGTGTTTATACAGTACTTCAATCTTTTTGTCATTTCAGTCCTGATAGAAGCAAACAAGTTTCTTTTGATTATAACCTGGGATTTGACTTTGCACAGTATAGAATATTCAAGTTTTAGTTTTTTGTTTTTTTTTTGAGACAGAGTCTCACTTTGTTGCCCAGGCTAGAGTGAGTGCCGTGGCGTCAGCCTGGCTCACAGCAACCTCAATCTCCGGGGCTCAGCGATCCTACTGCCTCAGCCTCCCGAGTAGCTAGGACTACAGGCATGCACCACCATGCCTGGCTAATTTTTTGTATATATATTTTTAGTTGGTCAATTAATTTATTTCTATTTTTGGTAGAGACGGGGTCTCGCTCAGGCTGGTTTCGAACTCCTGACCTTGAGCAATCCGCCCGCCTCGGCCTCCCAAAGTGCTAGAATTACAGGCGTGACAGGTTTTAGTTTTTTATCTTCTCCTCTCATAGCCACCTTTTCTAGTTCAGCCATAATGGGCCCAATCATCTCCTCATCTTTAAGCTGAAGCTCTTTATGTATTATTTCTTGATATGTATATTATTTCATATATCTTGAATAGGATCTACAACTCCTTCAACATGCATGATATCATCATCTTCAAAAGCACCTGTTAGGTGAAAGGTCCCATCACAGGTGCTAATATGAGATAAATTATTTCCTGGGCCCTGCCCATTGTGAGCTCCTTTCATAAGGCCAGCAACATCCACTACATTTATAAAGGCAGGAATTGTATTTGCTGCTTTGTGGTACTGGCAGAGAATGTCAGAGCTTTCACCTGGCACAGGTACTCTGCTCTTGTTAGGATCAATAATGCAGAATGGGAAGTTTTATGCTGAAGCCTGACTTAGTTATTATAATACATTGAAGAATCTATTTTCCCAACATTTGCAAATTCAATAATACCAATTTTTAGGGAAGTTCCAAATCTTCCAATGATTGGAGGGTGGCTTAATTCCGTTACCTCCCTTTGGGGGCACATCGTGCTAGGGGTGGGCAATGATACAGGGTCCCAGCAACAGTGAGAGATGGGTCCTGGTGGCAGCTGGAGGTGGGGAGGAAGCTAAAACAACCTTTTTAAAAATATGTTTTCTGGGCCGAGTACAGTGGTCCACACCTGTAATCCCAGCACTTTGGGAGGCCAAAGTGGGAGTATTGCTTGAGGCCAAGAGTTCAAATCCAGCCTGAACAACATAGTGAGTCTCTGTCTCTACAAAATATTAAAAAAACAAAATTCAGGTGGGCATGGTGGTGCACACCTGCAGTCTCAGCTACTGGGGAGGCTGAGGCAGGAGGATCACTTGAGCTCAGGAATTCGAGGTTGCAATGAGCTATGATCATGCCACTGCACTCCAGCCTGGGCGACAGAGCAAGACCCTGTCATCTAAAAAAAAAAAAAAATATCTATATATATATATATATTTCTGATTAGAAAGGAAATACATATAAAATTCAGAAAGTATATAAAAACATTTAAAAAGGAAAAGATTATAATTTCACTATCTAGAGTCATTTTTTTCACATATATTCTAGATAATTTTGCTTTTTTATACATATATAGATTTTTTACTTAAAAGGATACTGAACCACATAGTTTTGGGAGCTGCTGTTTTCACTAACACTATCTGGTGTACACTTCACTGTGTTAATAGAGTTCTATATTGCATTGTTAATGGCTGCGAAATATTCCATTTGATTGTATCTTATATATCTTTACCTTTTACTATAAAAAATCGGATCATTCACAATAATTTAAAATTTAATCAGTTTTCTTTTTACTTACTATGCATTTTTAATTTAAGATACACCAGAAGCTAACATCCTACTGAATTTTATAAGAGAAAATAAAGAAACAAATGTTCTGGATGACGAAATTGACAGTTATTTGAAAGAATCCATAAATTGTAAGTGACCCTTTAAATATTATTTAATTTTTTAAAAGGCCAAAATTAGGCCTGTAAAGTTTTGTTTGACATAGTAAAAGATACCAAATTCTAATTCTGTAACCACTATATTTCCACTTTTCAAAAGGTGGTTTAAAATTTGAGGGGCCTTATATAACTTTTTGCCAATCTGATGAGATCTAATGACCAAGTCCCCAGGAAAGTGCTGACTGATACACAGAATTTTGCATAAAATGTCATGTTTATGGACCCCAAATTCATGAGGCCCCAAATTCATGTTTATGAACTCCAAATCCCTAAGGCTGAGGCTCTTAAGGATTTTGCATGTTGCCATCTGTGGCTTATGCTAGACGTGGGGGAAGATGAGGAGGAGCAGAGGGAAGTCTTAGAATTAGATCATTCCCTGAAGGCATTTCTTTAACCTCATCCTAGGAGATAAAATATTTCATTATCATAGATAATGCATAATTCACCTTGAGACAGTAACAATTGAATTTAGCATGAAATAATTTATGCTGTAAACCACCGTAAGTTGTGTTAAGAGGAACTTTGCTATTGCTTTTGTGGAGGATATTTAATATATCTCCTATTGCTAGCAGTCACTGATAGAAAAAGATATTACTGGATCAATATTTGTCATCTTTTGCCTACAAGAAGGAATAAACTTGAAGTTGTATTATTTATTAATGCTAAAATAAAGTCATTATTGTTACTTTGAAAACATTTTGCAGATAATGCCATTTCAGGAAACTCCAGGGAGCACAAAAGTGTTCAGTGAGCTGTGAGGCACATTTGCTAGAATGTATTTCAGTCCCTGCCCAACCTTTCAACCCTGAAATAGGAATAAGAGTAACAGTGACTACACTGTTTTTAGGCTACTCAAGGGTAGCTAATTTATGTGCGGATGTTTTTTCCTGATAAATGGTCATATCAAAGTAATCACAAAAGTGGTTCTTAAGAGTCCTTTTATTCTGGAAACTTCTATAATTAAATTTACTCAGAAGCAAAAACGAGTTACTATGTCTTTATTAAATGCTAATTGCTCCCATGAAAACCTTATAGGTAGAAATTGATTAAATATTTTAGAGTAAAACTATAGTCATGTTTTCTTTAAAGCTTTTATTTTTCCTAAAAATGATGTGTGATGTCAAACATCACACATACCATATAAATATATACAACTATTATATACCCATAATAATTAAAAATAAAAATTTTTAAAAAGATTCCTCTAAGATTAAGAAAAATAAAAATGACTAATAAGCCATTGATTTTAGTTTCTTTTTTTGTATGAATTTTCTTAAACTTTTTCTCAACGTGTAATATGTAGAGAGAACAGTAAACCAAGTCTAAGAGGGCAGCTTGGTGTGTGCCCACCATGTGAACACGGCCCATGGCCTCCTCTCAACAGGTGATGAAAGTCAGGCCTGGAAGGCTTCTCGTGCCCTCCAAAGGCAAACGTGACTCTCATGTCTAACACCCTGGATGCCACAGATAGTTCAGCCTGTCTTGAGATTTGTAACATGAAATTACAGCACGTGTGTACACTGTCGTGCCAGCATTCTTTGGTTCAACATGACGTTAAAGTCATCCACATGCACCCCTTTTCATTGATGCGCACTCACCCTTACAGCACTACCCTACAATTTATTTCTCTATTTTACTGTCATTTTTCCCATTACAAAATTTCTGCTTTATTTTTGAATTGTGACTTTAGAGGACCATGTGTCTGTTTTCTGTTGCACCTGCACCTAGGAGTAGGATTGCTATGCATTTTCACTTTTAGACGAGTCTTCCAGAGTTTCTGTGCCAGTTTATATTTCCACTGGGAACATTTGAGAGTTGCAGTATCTTCACATTGTCCCAATACCTATGTTGTTAGTCTTTTAAATGGTAGGCATTTAGTGGAATTTTATGCTTGTATAATTTGCATTTACCTGATTAATAATAAGGCCAATAAGTTTATTGGGCATTTTTTTTTTTTTTTGAGACAGAGTCTCACTTTGTTGCCCAGGCTAGAGTGAGTGCCGTGGCGTCAGCCTGGCTCACAGCAACCTCAATCTCTGGGGCTCAGCGATCATACTGCCTCAGCCTCCCGAGTAGCTGGGACTGGTTTTGAACTCCTGACCTTGAGCAATCCGCCCGCCTCGGCCTCCCAAAGTGCTAGGATTACAGGCGTGAGCCACCGCGCCCGGCTTATTGGGCATTTTGATATTTTTTTGTGTGAAGTACTTTTTAAAGTTTCTTCCCCATTTTAAAAAAATTGAGTCACTCTTATTGATTTTTAAGAATTCTTCATATATTCTGGATGAGTTCTTTTTTTTTTTTTTTTTTAGCTTAATAGACATTTATTCCTTTCGTTAAACGTCTACACAAAATCCAAATTAGTTTTTTTTTTAGAAAGTAATATAGGTCTTAGGTCTCAAATTTTATGAGACTATTAATATTTTCTAGACATCAATTAACTGAACCTTTTGAAACCCCTAGAGAAAAATTGGTGTCAGAAATCCAGTCAATTGAATTTTTTTTTTTTTTTTTTTTTTTGAGGACAAGTCTCGTTTTCGCCAGGCTAGAGTCGAGTGCCGTGGCGTCCTAGCTCACACGCAACCTTCAAACTCCCTGGTGCTCGAGTGATCCTTCTGCCTCAGCCTCCCGGGTAGCTGGGACTACAGGGCATGCGCCACATTGCCCGGGCTAATTTTTTTTGTTATATATATCAGTTGGCATTAATTTCTTTCTATTTATAGTAGAGACGGGTCTCGCTCTTGCTCAGCTGCGTTCGAACTCTGACCTTGAGCAATCCGCCCGCCTCGGCCTCCCAAGAGCTAGGATTACAGGCGTGAGCCACAGCGCCCGGCCTCAATTGAATTTTGAAATCAAATTACTTACTCTTAAGTCAGAAAACTCAGAATTTGGAAAAAATGGAACAACTCCTCTTCTGTATTTCCTTCACACTCAAATTTACCCTGGGAAACATTAGCCTAGTCTACTGAACACGTGAAACATAAATGTGGCAGGGTGCTTAAAGTGAAGGTGAGCCATAACTGATGGCCCAACTTTGTGAACGGCTAAGGATTTTCAGGGTATTTTGATCATAAACAAACTGCAGATATGTAAGGTTAGATTGGAAACCATGAATTTACATTGACACCAACTATGTATGACTCTTCCCTGTAACCTTATGGATTGGGTTGACCCAAGATGATTTGTTAAGAATGGACTGAGAATGACATATTTTTAAGCAGCCAACTATACTTTTACCCCTCATGTGGCTACAGGATTTATAATGGTCACAAGTTAGTGTTACAGGTAAGTATTTAAAAATCTTGAATAAAGGTGACTTTAATTTTCTCACCTCACATTTGAAATGTATTTACCTAATGGCCACTGGCTTGCCAGCTTACAAACATAGGTTAATGATTCTTATTTGCCTAACATTCAATTTCCATCAGTTTCAAAATACAGTGTAAATACCACTACTGTCTACTAAGTATAGAATCCAGGACTCTAGATGCCATGGGATTGAATCAGGAGCAGCTTTTATCTCTTATGTTAATTTAAAATGGTACAATGGATACTGAGGCAATTTTTAGGTTAACCCAGAGGTTTCATTCGTAAGATAAGCCTCTTGCAACAAGTATATCCAGTTCCGAAAAATGGTGGCATTTTAAACTTTTCTTTCAGAAACAAATGGAACACTGGACTAAATCTGAAGATGTGGGCTCTACACGAGCTCATATTTTTCTACGTGACCACGACATAGAGTTAGGATATCCTCCTCCTACCCTACAAATTTCTAAACAAAACCCAATTAAAAAGCCAGCAGAGCATTGCCATCATCCCAGTAAAGCTGTAGGTTTCACCACATGCACCAAACAAATCTACAGGGTAGTTGTAGCACTCCTCTTTTAAAGAATTTATTTTACACCTATTATACCACACAGCATGTTTTAAACACCGACATAAAACTCCCTAATAAAATAAAGCAAAGACAAAAAAAGCTTATCTTATTAGAAACAAGATACACCATCACTTATAGTTTTCAAACATTATTGCACTTTTAACTTCATATTTGACAAAGCATTCATGAAACAATCTGCAGACTAGTTTGACAGACAAATAACACCTTTAAGCAGATATGACCATCCTAAATTGTTTATTAGGTATGAATTTTACAAACATTACTTATTAGCGGTAAGGATGGAGCTGGAGAGTATTGCGCTTCTCCAAGCTGCACGGCGAGAACCACCAATAGTGCGGTGGAACTTACGGCCCTTTCCAAGGCCATGGCTCTTGCGGCCTGCAGATGTCAGCCCAGCATCTCCCTGTGCTTGTGGACCGGTTTCGTGATCCACTGGGTATCAGGATTTCTTCTGATAGCTTTATGGAATGGGTCAATGAGGATAACCTCAAAACATTTGTATGTGGAATCTTCACCAACCCAGTAAGAATTCAGGACTCTTAGAGGCCCACAGTGGCGTCCAGCGTGCTCCTCGGCAACAGACTGAAGGCTTCGAGCAAACTTTAGCTGGTTAACACCATGATGGACAGGCTTGCCATAAGTTGCACCCTTAGGAACTGGGCATTTGCGGCCACCCCGGCGCACATGAATCCTATATATGACGTAACCTTGCTTGGCCTTGTATCCCAGTCTGCCTGCTTTATCCGATCGGGTGGGGCGGGGAGCCCTGTGGAGCACAGAGAGCTGCCGGTATTGCCACCAGCGGACCCTCAGAAGAAAGCGCATTCCATCAGACTGCTGCTTCCTCCACAGCTCCTGGATATACTTGTATGCACCCATCTTGGCTTACCTGATGGCTGCCGCCAGATGGAAAGCTGGATGAGTTCTTTGTCCCATTGTAGACTGCTAGCATCTCCCACTCCATGGCTTGCCTTTTCACTTTCTTAATGGTAGTTTTTGATGACCAGAAATTTTTCATTTTAATGAAGACAAATTTGTCATTCATTTTTGGCTTATTTTATGTCTATTCACATAATGTTTTAGTTAGAAAATATAATAACTTTTCTGCTACTTAAGCTACTACATGTTTTCATTTGAACTTATAGCTTTTTTATTTGGATATAATCCTTTGTCATTTTTCTAGCACTGTAATATTTCTTTTTATTTTTAGTAAATACAATAGTTGATGTCTATACAATTGAACAATTAAAGGTAAAAGCTTTGAAGAATGAAGGAAAAGCTGATCCTTTCTATGGAATTCTTTATGCGTACATTTCTACACTGAACATTGATGATGAAACTACAAAAGTAGTTCGAAATAGATGGTAAGGAGCCAAGTTACTTTTAGCAAATTCATTTTTTTTTATTTCGGCATATTATGGGGGTACAGATTTTAAGGTTTCAATAAATGCCCATTTCCCCCCGCAAATTCATTTTTGTGAGAAACAACTATTATTAATAAATGTTAAGCTCCATAGAAGTTAAAGCTGTTATTTGATATAACAGTGATTATATATTTGAGAGAAATTTATAAATCATACTGAAAAGTTTCTAAGGCAAACTATTTAGATTCAAAGATTATAATTGCCTTTTAAAGTAAGATATAATCTGTATTTCTGCAATCCTGCAATATAAAGATGTAATACTGCCAGAAACTTTTAACTGGGAAGGTAAATTTGTCTTATAATTTAGTAGAAAACTATTTTGATTGCCATGTCCTATAACAATGTAATGGCAGCATTTAAAAAAAATTATTCTCGGCCAGGCGAGGTGGCTCATGCCTGTAATTCTAGCACTCTGGGAGGCCGAGGCGGGTGGAATGCTCAAGGTCAGGAGTTCGAAACCAGCCTGAGCAAGAGCGAGACCCCGTCTCTAATAAAAAGAGAAAGAAAGAAAGAAAGAAAAGAAAGAAAGAAAGAAAGAAAGAAAGAAAGAAAGAAGGGAGAGAGAGAGGAGATGGAAGGAAAGGAAGGAAAGAAGGAAAGGAAGGAAGGAAGAGAAAGGAAGAGAGAAGGAGGAAAGGAAGAAAGAGAAGAAAGGAAGGAAGAAGGAAGGAAGGGAAGGAAGAAGGAAGAAAGAAAGAAGAATTGGCAACTAAAAATATATAGAAAAATTTAGCTGGGCATGGTGGCACATACCTGTAGTCCCAGCTACTCAGAAGGCTGAGGCAGGAGGATCGCTTGACCCCAGGAATTTGAGGTTGCTGTGAGCTAGGCTGATGTACTCTAGCCTGGGCAACAGGGTGAGACTCTGTCTCAAAATAAATAAATAAATACTACTACATCATACATACATACATACATACAACATACTCAAGCAGGCTTTGTGGGTATGTGCTGTAGTCCAGCTACTGGGAGCTGAGGTGGGAGGGTTACTTGAGCCCAGGAGTTTAAGTCCAGCCTGGACAACATGGTGAGGATATGATTTATTAAAAAAAAATGTTTTTCAAAAGCAAATGCATATGAGTTCTAACTCTTCTAGATCAAAGTTAGTATTTATATTGCATAGAAAGTAATCCCAGTAGATTTATATAATTTTAGCCAAAAGGTGCTTGGCAAAAAATGTCCAAAATAGTATTAGAAAGTCTTCTGTGGATTTTTGTAATTGAAATAATTGCAGCTTCACATGGAGTTTTTTTTTTTTTTTTTTTTTGAGACAGAGTCTCACTTTGTTGCCAGGCTAGGAGTGAGTGCGTGGCGTAAGCCTCACTCACAGCAACCTCAAACTCCTGGGTTCAAGCGATCCTACTGCCTAGCTCCCGTAGCTGGACTACAGGATGCGCCACCTGCTGGCTAATTTTTTCTATATATATTAGGTGGCAATTAATTCTTTTCTATTTATAGTAGAGACGGGTCTTGCTCTTGCTCAGGCTGGTTTCGAACTCCTGACCTGGAGCAATCCGCCCGCCTAGGTCTTCCAGAGCACATGGAGTTTTAAGAAATAATACAGAGAGATTTCTTGGATCCTCTGCCCAGTGCCCCCATTGGTATCATTTGCAAGCTGTGGTGCTACATCACAGTCAGGATATTGACACTCATTCAGTCCACTGGTCTTAGATTTCCTCAAATTTACGTGCAATCACTTGTGTGCATGTGTGTACACTCTATCACATTTGTAGGTTTGTATAGCTACCACCACAGTTAAGATATTGACCTCTAGATTCTTAAAACATTTCATGATGTGGTATTAAAGTTGATGAAAAACTAATGTGGAGGCTGCTGTGTAGGGCATATATTATATTTGAGTAGACATATATATATTTTTTGAAAAATATTTTCAGCCGGGGCACGGTGGCTCACGCCTGGTAATCCTAGCACTCTGGAGGCTGAGGCGGGCAGATTGCTCGAGGTCAGGAGTTCAAAACCAGCCTGAGCAAGAGCAAGACCCGTCTCTACTATAAATAGAAAGAAATTAATTGGCCAACTAATATATTAGAAAAAATTAGCCGGGCATGGTGGCGCATGCCTATAGTTCAGCTACTCGGGAGGCTGAGGCAGAAGGATTGCTTGAGCGCTAGGAGTTTGAGGTTTGCTGTGAGTAGGCTGACACCACGGCACTCACTCTAGCCTGGGGCAACAAAGCAAGACTCTGTCTCAAAAAAAAAAAAATGTATTTTCAAAAATTTAAAACATTAAAAATATTTCCCTTATTTTCGATACATATTTAATATTGATATCTGAGGAAAGCATCTAAATTTACTAAAAAAGTGATCTGTATTTTAATATCTCTGAATTGACAGATATTTGCTAATTTTTCTTATCTTCTAACCAGTGTATAAATTATTGCAAGGCAGGAAGTATATCTGTACGTAGCTTCAAATTCGTTTATTACTTCACATGCTGCCAGTATATGTGTGCTAAGTGGATAACTGGATGAGTGTGTTGAATAAATGAACAAGCAATAAAAAGCGATCTGTAGCTTAGACAAGAACCACTATCTTCAAGATAATTTGCTCTATTTGAGAAAATTTGAATTAGTCTCTCTGTTAAAATTGCTACAGTAAGGCCTGCTTCAGAAATATGGATTGCATGAAATTACCAGTTACAGAGAGAATATGTAACTAGCAGTATTAATAGAATTTGGGATTAGACCTGACCCAGCCTTATAAGGTTTTCTGTATATGCACAGAAGACCCTGTACAGGCACTGAGTGAGCAGTTGTTGAACCATCCTTTTGGGACACAAGACCCTCCTGCCTCAGAGCTGCCTTGAGGGAGATAAGAATAACAAGACTTGCTGTGACAGAACATGGATCAGTGCTGAGCACACTGTGCAACCATGTTCCAAGGAGGAAGAGGATGTGGCTGGGGTACCGGAAAGGAAGGCCATACAGGAAATGCGATGGGCTTGGACCTGGCAGGAGCCCCAGTACAGTGAAAGGAAGGACAAGGACAGGGAGGGACTTGTGTACCCAGGTTCAATTGGGATCTCAAATGCTGGACGTGAGAAGACTGTGTAGAAACACATCGTGTTGTTTCTTAGGTCTATCTCGCACCCCACACAGCATTGAGCTCAGTAAGTATTCTACACGCTGACTAGGCTTTAAGTGATAATTCTGCGAGATCAAATTTGTCACTTCTAGGGCCATTTATCTTATCACTGTTTTTGTTTCTTTCAGTCCAGCTGTTGTTATATTGTAAATGAAGCATCTAACTGTGTACAACTTGCAACAAAGATTTCTCGGAATTTAAATCTGTGTTTCTCAGCTTTGGACATGCTAATTGACCTTACTGACCACACAGGTACCCTTTATCCTGTAGTCTCACAGGAAGTGTTGTGGAGGAGACATTGGCTGCACGGTAAATAGCAAAAAGGAAGAATGTTTGGAAATATTTCCAAATGGATGCTTTCCCCAAATATAATATAGTTTATTTGGTGAAACATTTGATTGAAGTTATTCATTAATAAACAGGTGTTGGAAAAAAATCTGATTTAAACAACATATAGCTTTAATGAATAACTGTTCATATTTTATATTAAAATTCTAGTAATTACTATTATGAATAATGACTGAGGTCTTTAGCCAAATGGAGTAATAAATGTGACCTTTTATGTATCAAGTAACGAGGGAAGAGGGTAAAACAAGTTAGTCATCATGAGGGCAGCTCTGCCAGAAGGAGGGTTGGTTGACATTTTACCTACCAGCTGTATAAAGTCATCGTGAGTTTTCTCCGTTTGGACAGCTACAGAACAGAAGCAGATACTTAGATTAGCATGTGATTGATGATGTAGGCACTTTTTTTATTGTTAAGCCAGCTCATTAAATTTACATTAAACTTTATTTCCAAAACTGTTCCACTTTATTGTGGGTGTTTTCCTCGCTGAGCTACCTGATGGCTTTAGAGAGTCAGTTTATAGCCTGTCTTACCCTTATCTATTCAAAATGAGCTGTAATTGGTTGTGATAAAAATCTATTCTAGTGAGCAAGTGTCATTTCATATTGTTGTCAGAATGGGTGTATGTATCGTACTTCAGAAATATTTGTCTGATTTTTTTAACCAGGTAGATGAGATTCTTGCAATGACGGATGAACAGAAAACAGCATTAAAGTGTGCAATTTCTTTTGGAAAGAAGCAAAATTTATAAAAGTTAGTGTATTTTATAGTACTATGTTATTCCATATATTCAACAAAGAAAAATTTAGAATATGACCTAATACGTTAGGGATTTATTATCTTTACTAATTGCCAATTCCCAGAAGTGAAGAAGGATTTGGTTATCCTAGAAATAATGGAAATAACCCATTTTTCCATATAGTATAAAGGAGCTGCAAATAAAATCAAAGAAATAGAGCAACAGGAAAATGTCGTTAATGTTAATTCCAAAGCAAGGGCAATGGGTCTTTTTTTTTTTTTTTTTGAGACAGAGTCTGCTTTGTTGCCCAGGCCCTAGAGTGAGTGCCATGGCGTCAGCCTAGCTCACAGCAACCTCAAACTCCTGGGCTCAAGCAATCCTGCTGCCTCAGCCTCCGAGTAGCTGGACTACAGGCATATGCCACCATGCCTGGCTGATTTTTCTATATATTTTAGTCGGCCATTAATTTCTTTCTTTTATAGAGAGACGGGTCTCCTCTTGCTCAGGCTGGTTTCAAACTCCTGACCTCAAGCAATCCACCCGCCTCGGCCTCCCAGAGTGCTAGATTACAGGCGTGAGCACGAACCCGGCCAAGGCAATGTCTTAAAGTCAGAACTGGCTATCTTCACCTTCACCTGCCGCCTGTATAGCATAGCTCTTCATTAATAAGTATGTGCCTTCTGGATCCTTGAGTGCAGCCTTTTGACGGGAATCCAATAAAGGGATTTGTTTTGTGAGTTTGGATTTAGTCGGAGTGCAGTCATGAAGAGGCATCAACCAGGTCCTATAAATATTGATGAGTCCATGGGAGACTCCAGGTCTGTAACCTGTTCAGCTCAGTCAGTGCAATGCAGTTCAGACCTCAAGAATCAGACAGTTCTGAAGGTGCCCTCATCAATGCCAGGCCACTGGTGCATTACGCTGAAATGATCCCAGTCATCTTATTGCCCAAAGTCTTACACAGTTTCTATGATAGTATATATTTTTTTTCCCTCTTAGTCTTCAAATTAAGTGGTGATATGGCTTCCACTCTACATTAAATAAAATGTTAGTGAAAGTCTTTATCAATTGTAAAAAAGGATATTATTATAAATTGCATCATCCCATCCCTAAGTTAACAGATTGCATCATGTTGCAAGTGAAAGTCTATACAATTGGTAGTTTGAACACATGTTAACCATTTTTACCTACATGTTGGATTTGTAATCCGACTTTCCTCTGAGAGGAATGTCATGAAAAATGACACAATTTTTATATAATCACTGTCAGAAGCCAGAGCTATAATTTTCTGCCGTATTGTGTGTGAGACTAGAAGTCTTTCCATGGTTTACAACTTTAATTGAAATTTATGTTAATATCTGTAAACAAAACTTCCATTGTAGTTTCTCTTGTGGTTATTGGCTCAACTTTATATACAAGGGGATTTTTATAACCTGTCTTTTTTTTTTTCCTGCAGTGTTGTTTTATCACACAGAGCAAGAGTGGGTTGAGAATTAGTCGTGCTCTCCTGTAAGCTTGCAGATCCCATGAGGCACAGCAGAAACTTGTCTGGAGAAGGACATGTTTAAACTGCCTATCATGTTAGTCTGGAAAATGTAGGAGTTTTAACTTCCTTTAAAATGGAAATTAGTTAGAAAATTATGGTCAAATTGTATTTTGTTTAAATACAGTGAAAATGTTTCTATAAATTGTTATTATGTTTCCCCTCTGGGTGTTTGGGGACAAGGCTGAAAGCATCTCTCTTACCTGAGCTCACCTCTTAGAAGGCCTTTCTATTGGTTTGCTATGTGTCTCAGAGTTGAAAACATGCACATGAGTTAATAAAACACGTTTATCTTTCCCACAGATTTGGTTCTTTTTCTTAACCACTTTACTTCCTTATCTTGGTTCCCTAGAAAAGAGTAGAACCTCGAAACTTTCCTAGTTGTGGTGGCTTGTCATCTGACAGGACACGGGGAGGGCGCTCTGGCTGGGTGGGAGCAGCAGAAGGCTGGAACATGCTGCTGCTTTGAGTGTTCCCAGAGGCTTCCCACTACTTCACACGGAGCCACCCAGTGCTGGTGGAGGCTCACTGGCTCAGCGCTGATGCTGACGAGTCCGAATCAGCTGGGAGAGACCAACTTCAAGGATACTAGGCAGTGCCTGGGTCTCAGGAACTTTGAAGGGGGAAACTATACCGGACATTAAGACAGGTGCCATTTTAACTCAGTTTCTCTCAGCTCCACGCCATTCTGAGTCACTTGCTGTGAAGACCACCACTAGAATCTGTGTTGACCCACAGCCCAGGAGGCTTGGCCAGCTGTTGGATCTGCCAACAGGATTGAGGGGAAAAGGGAAAAAGTAAGTATATGAAACTCTTTTTACAGCTGGTGTTGGAATAAACTTACCTTGTCAGTAATGTTTTTCTTGCTTTTACTGTGTGCAGCCACAGAGGGGGTGTCCAAATTGTGGTGACAAACAAGTTAAGGAAGGAATTGACCTAGCTGTGCAAATGGGTCTGCCGAAGAGTTCCTTCTGCTCTCCGTGGGGGAGAAGTGGGTTTGTTAAGCAAGGGACAGGAGCGTGGGCAGGGTGGAAAGGGTCAAGAGTGGTGACGAGTCAGGCAGGGGGCAGAGAGAAGTGACTGTGGCGTGGGCTGTGGCTGGATTCGCACCACTGTTGGTATAGTGCCCCCCCTTCCCAACAGGGCCCTGGCTTCCAGGAGCTCAGGAGACACCGGCCCAGGTTGTGTCGGGCTGCTGTGCAGGCTCCTGCAGCAGGTCGGAAGCGACTAGGGGCCTGGCCCGTCAGCCCATGGCCTCCGCTGCTTCTGGCTGCTCCGCCACCAGCTTCGATTGCATAACACGCACGCTCCGCAGCAGGCAAAGAGGCAGCTGTCTGCCAGGCGCCAGCTTGGCCAGCAGAGGCTCTGAATTACCTGCTCACTGCTAAGGAACTTATCTCACGGTCCACTGGATTTTAACTTGGAAGCTGGAGGTGCAGCCAATGCTTTCATTGGCATGACACGGGGATCT